GATTACCGCCCGCGAGAGAGATCACAACACCCAATCACAGGCCACGGAAGGGATTAAGAGCGAGAGAGACAATCTCTCACAAGGGATTCTTAGAAAAATTTGTAAAGAACAGTTGGGAAATTCAGAGTTAGAGAGACAGCGGGCAGAGGGGAAAAAAGAGAGGGAGGGTTGCCAAACGACAGCAAGAGAGAGAGAGAGAGAGCACTTATGCAAGAGAGGCATCAAAGAGAATTCAGTCAGAGTGTGTTTATACGGTTCGCTCCGTTGATGTGGTGAAGAGTTATAATCCTGAAGAACAGCGGAGCGTTTCGTCTTCACCATGCACATCCTCCAATCCCACTGCGTTATCAGGTGAGACGCTTCTCCTACCTGTATCGCTCTACAAGCCTAGTCATGTTGCTCTCGTAACGGTGTTAACAAGGTTACCACGATCATGGAAAGATTGCTAATATTTGAAATTGTGATATCTCAACCAGGAAAATTTAGGGAAATCAATTTAGAGAAAGCATTCTAAATCAATGCATAAAATTTCTATATGGAATACATTTTTCAATTTTTGCTAAGATTTAAATTATTTCATCAACTAGAAATCTGTGCAATCCCTATAAATGCACTGTAAATCATAATATTTTTTATAATATTAGTTATATTGTTAAAATTACTTAAGTTATTTGTATTATTATTATAATATTATTTTATTGTTATAAAATTGTTGTTATTATTATAATTGGTAGTAGTAGTAATTTATTATTAGTATTATTTGTAATGTTATCATTAGTATTGGTAGTAGTAGTAGTTTTTTATTGTTGTTATTTTTATCATTTGCAATGTTATTAGTAGTATTAATAATAATAGTAGTTTATTACTACTATTAATATTATTAAACATGAGCATGAATGGAAAAATCATAAAATGACATTACCGATGGTAATTCATTGGGAAAAAGTATGGAAAACCCAGAATGGGTCTCTTCACAGTCTACTTCAAAACCCTCAGTCTGTGGACGTCTTTATTTGGGAACTGCTGTGCTGCATCGGTCGACTGATTCTATCTCAACATGCAGATTTCTGATACTTCTGAATCATGTATGCTGCTGCATCTGAGAATTTAATGAGAATCTGTTTTAGTATCATCAGATCGGACCGATTATGATCCGCTTGTTCGTCGCTCTGTGCGCAAAATGATAGAAGCTCGTATCACAGTATTACTGTGCAAACTGCAACCTGTCCTCTCAGATGTTACAGCGGTTGTCCTCTGTCCCTTTAATGGCAAAGTTGTGTAGCTCTTTCATTTGGATCCGGGGTAATTGATGTTCTGCAGAGAGCAAGTGGCTGTGATTTATTTATTTATTTGATTTACCCCTCCCATCTGACTAGGCAGAATCCTCTGAGGTTTCTTTTTATAGTAAGTGTCAGAGTGAAAAAAAGCCATTGCTGCTTTATCTTTCTTTATGCCTCTGTCTGCCCATCTTTCTATGGCACTGAATATGTTTATTTTCTCAAGGGATATTTGCACATTGCTTTGGCCGTGATGGAATTGGGATTAAATGAATCTAGTATTCAGTATTGATTACTTGAGGTGTGTTGCCTGTCTGAAATGTGAAATCTGCAATGCTTTCTTTGTGACGAGCAGGTTCTCATGAGGACAGCAGATGATTGACAGTTGTATTGGTACCACCATCCACGACAGCAAATCAGAGTGATTGTGACGAAGACAACGCAGCTTTAGAGTGACATTTCCATGTGCCCGAGAGAACGAGAGAGAAAAAAGCCTAGAGGCTTCTGCGTCCTCACTGAACCTCAGTCAGACATATTAAATGACATTCATAAATGACGTTCCACAGCTGCAGAATCAATACAGCAAATGACAAAAATAATATGATGAGCGAAAGAACACTCCAGTATTACACTTTGAACCTTTTATATTTTTCCCCCATGGCTTTGAACAAAGATGGCCTTCTTTGTGTTTATGTGTGTGACATCACGATGGCTTAAGGGAGCACATCACATGAACCTTGTTTTGTGTTCTCTTGGTAATTTCCAGAAGATTCTATCAAATGAGAAAAGGGTAAACTCAAGACACTAACAAAAAGTACCATTGGGATTCTTAGAATAGCACATAAATACATGACCTGAGGCTGTATATCAAAGTACTACAGTATTATTGTATTACCTGATGCTATCCCTCCACAGTATTTTTGTAAGCATAACAGGAGCTGTTATGTAACCTGAAAGACGTCTACCTCTACAGCTTTTGATGTTTAAATTAATTTTTATGCCTTTCAAAATCCAGCTCATGATCTTGCTAATACACTCTTATTGGTATCATGTGGAGTTAAAACAGCTCGCCGTTTCGAAATCTAACTCTTTTTGATGTATATTTAAAGAGTCTAGCATTAGCGTTAGTGACGGCAAAGGTGTTGAAGAGGTATTTAGAGACTAGCACCGAATGCTAACAGATTTGCTTGCATTATTTGGACACTTTGTTACATAACTCTGCTGTCTTTCTCCCAGCATAGAGCTGAGCCACTCCAGCCCTTTAATCACAGCCAGACTCGATGTACCCGGAGACTGTGACGTTCACACGTATATGTTGCTGGAGGTCGTAGAGTGGCTCTATTGTTAAACCTCGATGTCCGGCTGTACACTGTCTGCTGTCTCATTGGTAGTTGCCGCATTGCATCACTGCTCATTTGCCCTGCTCATCTTTGTTACATCAGCAACGTTCTGTTTAATTAATGATGTTCAGTCATTTTAGTGCTGAAAGTCTGTGTCAATGTTCTTGCCTCTTCAGTCGGAATGGGTGTTCCTACTGCTGGATGACCTGATGTTATTGGTGGGATGCAAAACTGGACATAGTTTTTGAGAAGTTGATCAGAAGTGGGATATATTGCTATTTAAAAAAAATCAGATGTCATTTTAAAATGGGGTCTTAACAATGCATCATTTTTACTTCCAAATATTTTTCATTTCTAATCACTTAATCACTGTTAATGTTTTGTTTTGTTTTTTTGTTTTGTTGTGTTGTGTTTAGTTTTGACTTTTGTTTTGTTTTGGTTTGGTTTTTATAGTTTTGTTTTGGGTATTACTCAAAGAAAATAATTATATAATAAAAATATTATTGTACAATTTTTAAACCTTATTTTGTTATTATTTCTTAATGAAGAGTAAGACTTCTTTATAAAATATTCATAAGCCCTTTTAAGACTTTTATTATTTTTAATTTTTTTAAATTGTCGAAATCACATTGAAAAGGATTTCACGATGCTTTATAGTGGTTAAATCATTGTTGTTTTGAGATTGTTTGGTGTTTTATTATTATTATTGTTATTATTGGGAATTTTTGTAATGATTGAAATGTTTTATGTTAGGGAAGAGTCTTTTTAAAGACAAACATTTTAAAAATCTTTTTATTTTATAAGACGACCCCCCTTTTTCCAGATGTACCTTTTGGAAAAAGGCTTTTTAAAAACCAAATCTTGTTTTTTCTCAGTAAAACACATTTTGTCTTCAATTATTTTCATATTGCATATTTTTCCTATTTTCATTTTTGTTTTGAAAGTATGGTAAAAACTGGTAAAATGTACCAACAATCACATTTAAAAAATATACACTTTTTTATATACCATTAAAAAAAAAAACAGGTAGCCCATCTGAATTAGGACATTTAGGCTATCCATCTAATAGTAGCCTACCAAAATCTTATTAACAGCAGAAGTTAAATCTTACTGTAGTCTTCAAATCTGGGTTCTGTCTTACGTTTTAAAATCACAAAGGGAGTTTGGTCCCATCAGGCTAACGTGACAGTCACGACTCATGCAGCTGTAAGGTTTTCTTTTTCTTTTGTTTTTATAGTCTTTTGTTTTTACTCGCGATCTTTACAACACGCATTACATTACGTATTTCATGGCACACTCGTTTTATGCGTATTTGGCGTCACCTATTGTTGTGGGTGTATTATTGACATGTCAAAGTCTAGACCCTGAATATAAGACGACCGCATTTTTTCAGATGTATTTCCAAGAAAAAAACATCGTCTTATATTCGGGTCAATACGGTAATTATTATTATTGGGAATTATTGGAAATCGACAGCATCCGGTTGCTTTTTCGCTATATGCTAAATCACAGTTTTTGTTCTTGTGCTTTGGGCCTTTATCATTTAATTTAGGTATGTTCATATTAATATTTAATATTTAGGTATTTTAAAATTAATGTATATTAAAACTAATTAATGGGAACAATAGCACATCAGGCAAAAAATGCTGTTCATAATCATTGTACCCCCCAAAAAATTACAAAAAACATCAATGGTCAAAATCCTTATTTAAACCCAAAGGTTACAGGTCTTTAAATAAAACATCGACAATGCCTATCTTTGTAGTTTTTGATGTTAAGGTGGTGTCAGTGAGTTGATTGATTAATTAATTATAATCACCTGATGTATGTCGTCTGTTATGTAATCATTGAGAAACAAAGAATTGTCAAACTGACTAAGGCAGACAGCCGAAATATTTGTCTATTTTATCTACTGTTTGATTCAAATAAAAAGATTTTAGAGTGCAGACCAACCTTGATTGTGTTGGTTTAGATTAGATTAGATTAGATTAGATTAGATTAGATTAGATTAGATTAGATTAGATTAGATTAGATTAGATTAGATTAGATTAGATTAGAAAGTTGCAGGAAATTATTGAAAAGAGAGAAGTGGAATGGGTTCGGTCCTTTTGCAGTCGGGACATGAACGTGTCAGGAACACGTGCATCGTGGCTCTGACGGTTGCCTGTATTTGCGATCTTCTTTTTTGTGATCCTCACTCCATCAAATCAAAATGACAGGGTTGTCATGTTGTTGAAGCACTTGGAGCTGAATGTGTGCTGGTTAAAAATATAAAGTGATACCACAGGGAGTTGCAGGCATCAAATCACCACAAAGACTTCCTGTGTGCCATCTTTGTGGAATGTACTAATACCAACCTCTTTCTCTGCTCTTTTTTTTCCAGGTGGCTCAATGGCCCGAAAAGGAAGAGAAAGAACAGCCAGTGTTCGGTGAAGAGCATGTCTGGTAAGATGTCTCACAGAAGACACAAATGCTCTTGCCAAGCTGCAGCAGTATGCTTATCACTCCTCTGTCCTCCCAGAATGCATCACTGACTGCACATTTCTGAGAAACACACGAGAGTCCTAGAGGGGAGAGAAGGGTTTTTGTCCCGTGATCCTCCTCACATCAACTCCAGCATCAGTTAGCTCAATAGATTTGTTGTTATGTGATGTTCTGGTGATCCTCCTTTAGGATATCATAACTCATGTTAAAGTGATCGCTCTCCCAGGCTAAAGGGGTGTTTAAGGATTGACTTTGTATTGGTGTAAGGAGAGGCTGTTCAGTTGAGGAAGTTCAATACATTTACTGACCCCATCTCTGCTTAGACCCATCAGGCCTCCAGTAGCTGCATTTTTATGCCCGTCCCTGCTGCTCTGTCTCATTCCCCTCATGCCCACAGCAGTTAAATAAACTAGATTAGACCCAAAATTGTCTCTAACCTTTTAGTTTTCCAAAACTGGTGCTGTCGCATAATTCACTTGGGAAAGAAAGACGCTGAAGCAAGATTTGCTATTGCACACTAGCCTACACTGCTGTTTAGTGTTTTATTTTTCACAAAGGGTATGTTGTTAAAAAAAGAATGATAGCTTAAAACAAGTCTATTAAACGTATCCCAATAAAAACGCCATACTTTACATTACTTTACATAGTCTGAATTTTTATTTAGCCCCATTTTTGCAGAATGGTGAATCCGGAAGAAAAATAGCTAGGTTTAGACAAAATAAAATAAAATAAACTGTCCTGTACTGATTTAAAAACAGATATGGATGAATTTGAAAATTAATCAAACATTAGATTTCAAAATCTAAATTTATTCTAAGAGTTTTACTGAATAAAACACTTGTAGTGAGTTAAAGCCTCAAACCCTACAAATCACGTGTTTAGTTTAATTTCGTTTTTTTTTTTTTTTTTTTGTTTACAGTAGTTTATTAGCTATTTTTCAAAGGTTTGTGGTCAGTTTTATCCAGCAAAGATGCATTCAGTTTATCAACAATGTTAGTAAAGACATTTATATGGTTACAAAATATTACTATTTCAAATAAATGCTGTTTTGTTTTTTTAAATCACCATTTGAACTAAAGTATTTGAACTGAGCTGTTTTCAAGATTGCTAATAATAGTAAATTAGTAGCACCAAATTAGTAGATTAGAGATTTCTGAATTAACAGAATTTTAAATTGTAGTAATATTTCATAATATTACACTCTTTATCTACTATATCTTTACTGTATTCAAATAAATGTAGCATTAGTAAACATAAGGGACTTTAAAAAAACATTTTAAAACTTTTGAAAGGTTGTGGATACAGTATTTAGTGAAATAGTGGGCAGTGGACTATTTCTCCTTCCTGAATGCAATAGCATATATTGCAATTAATAATTTGTTTCTTATCTATGAAAGGGCTTCGTAAATTTACATGAAGGCAGTTAACTAGCATAAGATGAGAGACCTGTCACAAACACTGGCGGATCTTAAATGCTGTCAAGTGACACTCTCAAACTCACTCGGGGCTCTTCAGGGCTTTCACCAATCAAGGTTAATAAGACTTAAATAGGTACTCAGATAGGTCTGAAGTGTGTCATTTCTGCAGTATTGCAGTTCTAAACAAAATTTGAAATCAATGTTTTCTAACATTTTCCCAATTTCTACCCCCAAACATAATTGGTTGAGTTAATATACAGACAATTCAGGAAAAAAAACAATCTAGAAATTACGAACAGCTACTTTGCATATGAAGCTAGGAGCTTTTTATATTTAATATTTATTGTGGTGTTGATTTGCTGATGTCTGTTCTTGTTTGTTGCAATCAGTTAACATTAGATTTTTTGTGTATGGTAGGGTACATCCCCAGCTATCTGGATAAGGATGAGCCGTGTGTGGTGTGTGGAGACAAAGCTACCGGCTATCACTACCGCTGCATCACCTGCGAAGGCTGTAAGGTGTGACATCTCTGCTATCACTTGTGCACAGTGTTAACAGACATCTCAGCCCCACACATATATAGACAGACTAGACTGTCACCTCACGTAGTGTTATGGTGTGGCGCAGGTCTGATCTGTTCAACAAAACATCCTGTTGTCATTTGTGAAACTTATACTCCTATCATTCTCAATTCTGTCAAATCACAAGCCTAAGAACAGCGTCAACCATCTAATCCACTGTCTGTCTCTCTGTACGTGAAGAAAGTGAATTGTGAGTGACAAATGTGCTGTGCAAGTATTTGACTTGGACTCCTGCCTAAACAGGCTGATTTGAAGAGCTCTTGAGAGCTTGCAGATTCCATCACTGCAATAAAAAAGGGGCAACAAAGGTTACATTTTCTAATCAGACTTTTGTCTTATTTGTCAGTAATATAGATATGCATCATTATAGTTAGGGATGTCACCAAGCTAGGTTTGTCAGCAGTGAGTATCAAGTGCACAAACAAGTGTTGACTGACAGCACCTGCTTTTCAGCTCTCATGTTTGCACTTACTCTGTTTATTTTTTATTTTATTTTTTGTTTTGTTTTGATTTAATTTGTTAAGAATTCCCTAGGAATGCATTCAAAAGCATATTAGCTTTTGCCGGTGGTATTGAATGACTGCTGAAATGTTAGCATTTTTCATTCTACTGAAAACAAAACAAATTTACTTGGGAACCAAAATAAATCTGTGTATCATTCGTTCATTCGTTTTTTGATTTAATATTGAAAGTAGAAAAATTAAAAAACTGCTCCTTTTTAGTTTTTGTTTTTTTTCTCCAAAAACGAGAATTCAGCTTATATTTTCATTTTTCGTTCAGGGATAGAAAAATGAATAAACAGCTTGAATGTTCGATTTTTACACGTGAGCGGGAATTAAATGCCCCTTTCTGCTGATCGGTCAGCCGAAGATCAAACCGTGCCTTCATCAGTTCTTCTGCAGTTTTCACGCTGCAGAATAATAGTCCTCCGCTGTTGCAGTTGTACGGATTCTTAACGCATTTATTGCAGCGAATGATACACGGATTAAAATTGTTTTTACTTTTTTTGTTTGTTTGTTTTATTTTTATTTTTATTGTATTGCATTCTATTTTTGTTTTGAATAAGGGAATGCATTCAAAAGCATATTCATTTTCGTTATATTGAATTTTACTGATTAAGACTGAATTTTACTAATATTTTTTATTGACTACTGAAATGTTAGCACTTTTTTAACCTTTTTTGGATGAAAAAATAGCATTTTATATATACTGTATTATATATATATATATATTGTATTCTTACATTATTGGCAATTTTTCCCCCCTTGTTTTAAGCAAAACAGGGCAAAAAGGCTTTTGTAGTCCACTTGCTTATGTGGGACAGGAAGCACAGTTTGTGACAGATAACACCTGTGTGACTCCCTGCCTCTGAATGCACTCTTTATCCTCCTCACTCTCTCTGTCTCTCAGGGATTCTTCAGGCGCACCATCCAGAAGAACCTCCACCCCTCTTACTCCTGTAAGTACGATGGCTGCTGCATCATCGACAAGATCACCCGCAACCAGTGCCAGCTGTGCCGCTTCAAGAAATGCCTCGCCGTGGGCATGGCCATGGATCGTGAGTGACCTCACACATGCTCATGCAAATAACATACAAAATCACCGAACATGCAAAACCGCACACAGACAAATGAAAACGCATGAGGGCACCTCAAGTCTGTCTGTTCACTGATCATCAGCAGTTGTCATTTGTAATGAAAAATTATTAAATTAGAAAATAACTCAAAACAGAAGCTTCTACATCAGACGCTTGGACCTCACCGTACTGGATCACGAACACAGCCCTGCTCCTTACATATACAAATGCATGCTGACAGCGAATGTACATTAATCTTATACAAACAGAAGTGCTCACTCTGGAGTTTCCCTTACATATGTCCATATGCCTCACATATGTACAGCACATGTTCAACCCAGAACACATTTCTTCTTCCTCTGTCACTCCCTCTCTCTCCCTCTGTTCTATAATGTTTTATGGATGTCTCGTTTCTACTTTGATCCCTCCCCGATGCTCTTACTCGTTCGTTCACTGCCATTCTGCACCTCAGAATAATTTTGTTATTCAGTATTTCTCTTGTTTTCCAGGAAAAATGTCTAAACGTCTTTAAAGTGAAATGGAAAAGCCACTTAGAGGACCATAACTGAAATTGATTTGTTGATTTGTGCATCACGCCAGTGGAAGAAATAACCTGTTTTTCTCCTTGGTGTAGTGGTTCTGGACGACTCTAAGCGGGTTGCAAAGCGGCGCTTGATTGAGGAGAACCGTGAGAAGAGGAAGAAGGAGGAGATGGTCAAATCCCTGAAGACTCGGCCAGAACCCACCAGCTCAGAGTGGGAGCTGATCCGTATGGTGACAGAAGCTCACCGCCACACCAATGCACAGGGCTCTCACTGGAAACAGAAACGCAAGTTCCTGGTAAGCAAGAACCTTGTTATATTGTTAAATCACTAAAACAATAGTGTGCTTTTGACATTGAAATAAATGACAATGACAAAAGCACACAACAAAATTTCTTAAGCACATAACCAACTTACTTAAAGGGCACCTATTATGCCCATTTTTATAATATGTAAAATAAGTCTCAGGTGTCCCCAGAATATGTCTGTGAAGTTTCAGCTCAAAATACCCCACAGATCATTTATTATATCATTTTAAAAAGGCATATTTTGAGTGGAAGCAGAAACACGCTATTTTCGTGCATGTCTCTTTAAATGCAAATGAGCTGCTGCTCCCCGCCCCCTTTTCCAGAATAGGGCTGTGCCTTACAGCTCATGCCTCAGATACTCCGCTAAACAACATGTGTTTGTTTTTTTATTATCATGTTCGTTGTGCGAAAAATTTGTGGTCTGCGCCGACTCGCACGTGATCCGCTCCGTGCAATCATGTGTCTGGACCGGAGCAGAGTGTGTGTGCGGTGCGGTGGTTAGCGTGACACAGCGCCAAACCAGACTTATTTTTTTCCTCAATGGTAAGCATATTTACACTGTTTGAATCGTTCCCAGTCCCCTATATAGTGCACTACGTGCCATTCACTGTACAGAAAATATTAATTCTGTGGACAAGTGACCCATTTCAGCCGTGGCTTCAGCGTCTATTTTATAGTGTAGGGGGCGGGCTCTTCGGATTCTAGAGAGCATTTGATTGGACAGAAAGTTTGATGAGAAACTGAAGTACGATGTGACGTCAAAAAAAATCGTTGAGCCGTTTTGGCGGAAGTGACGAACTGCAAGCTTTGAATGCTTATATCTTCTAAATGTGAATTTTGTCACTGTTTTGGATCACACTGCCTTATAAATAACCTTAAGACTAACATATTGATACTAACACCCAAAAAACTTTAATTTTGATTTCATGGGGACCTTAAACTGTCAAATACACATAAGTTTATGTTAAAAACACACATAAGATACACACAATCTGTGTATTAAGTGACAGCAGCGTGATATACAGTACCTATACTCAGAATCAGAATGAGAATCAGAATCAGAATGAGCTTTATTGCCAGGTATGTTTACACATACGAGGAATTTGTTTTCGTGACAGAAGCTTCCACAGTGTAACTAAATGACAGTGACAGAACAAAAAACACAGATAATAAAAAATAGAACATGTAAATAAGGAATATAAATATATAAATCGACAATTGTATGTACAGGTATATTACAATAGACAGTTCTGTATGTACAGGTACTGTATATTATGTGCAAATTTGAGGTGTAGACTGAGTATGAGTGTTAGATAAATAAGTGTATGTGTGTATAAATAGTGTGTGTTCCACAGTTATTGTCAAGTGTTCATGAGATGGATGGCCTGAGGGAAGAAACTGTTCCTGTGTCTGGTCGTTCTGGTGCTCAGTGCTCTGTAGCGTCGACCAGATGGCAACAGTTCAAAGAGGGAGTGTGCTGGATGTGAGGGGTCCAGAATGATTCTGCCAGCCCTTTTGCTCACTCTGGATAAGTACAGTTCTTGGAGAGAAGGGAGGGTTGTACCAATGATTCGCTCAGCAGTCCGGACTATCCTCTGTAGTCTTCTGAGGTCAGATTTGGTAGCTGAGCTGAACCAGACAGTTATTGAAGTGCAGAGGATGGATTCAATGATGGCGGAGTAGAACTGTTTCAGCAGCTCCTGTGGCAGCTCCTGTTACTGCTGTCTATTCTGTTAATATGATCCAAACAATAAAATAAAAGCAGGAAATCACTTACTTCTCTGGACTGAATAACATCTATAGATTTAATAAGAAGACATTTCTTACTTGAATGTTGCTTTTAAGTGTTCTAGCGTGAAGATAAACATGGAGGATTGTGAGCGGCTCACTCAGGGCAGGGTCCCTTCTAATACGACAGTGTCTGTCAACAGTCGTGGGTGGGGCTTGTAAAATGTGACGCCTGATTCTGCGAACGGCTTGTTCTGAGATTTATGGGGATTAAAAAAAGGAGCACATGTTTGTTTAAACAACAGGTAAAAGTGAATTTTGCACAAGTTCCCTTTAAAAAAAAAAAACTAACAAAAAAATCTAAATATAAGAAATATATAATAGCTTGAAAACAGTACTTTCTAAATTTCAAGGAAAAACATTTTTTAGGTAGACAGGAGAGAAAACTTCATACTTTAATTATTGTGTTGTATTTGTATGCGTACATTTCTGTGTGTCTGCTCGCTACATTTTATTTTCAGCTTAGCACATCGCTATGGCCTTTTCTGTCATTACGGATTAGCATTTGTTTACACAGCTTGCTAATCAATGTAATGAGTGACAATACCAGTCCGCACATATCAGTTGTGACCGGACAACAGCGAGCGTTAAAGCAACTGTTAGTCACGGGTATAACAGGAATGCAGAGTTGCCATGCAGGGACTTTGTAAAAGCGCCTCTGTTTATGAAGAAGGAAGGAAAGAGAGTTTAGACAATATTAATCGCTCATTCGCTCAGACAATATACCACCCACTGTGAATAGTGGCAGGATAAAGGAAGAGAAAATGGAATAAAAGAGACACAGAAACACAGGCTATGGATATCTGAAAGACTTCTGAAAGATCTGAAAGATCTTTAAGAGAAAGAAAATAAATAAATCTGTTGGAATTTTCTCACACATATCTTTCCAAATGTTTTTCTTCTGTCTCTCTGTTTTTTTTTTTATGGGATCCAGTGCTGATTTGGAACCCATTTGCTTTCATTGCAAGAACAAAATCAGTTCTTCGAAATCTTCTGCTTACAAACATTCAAGCGAGCATATGCACACTATCCCAGCAGAAGGGCTGATTTGGAAATTCTACATTGTAGAACCAAAGTTGGTTTTCTCAGCCCACCAAACACCCGCTGCCTTCCCAGCGGTTACGAGCACTATCAAAGCCCTGACGCACATCAATCTAAACATTCGGCGTGTGCTAGACCCTGTGATGATCAGCCATGGGGGACAGAGAAACCACTTCCCCAGCCGGCTGAGAACTCCTATAAAACGGCCCATAAAGAATTCAGCCTATATAACCTTTACAACTAAGATATGCCTCCAATAATAGTGCAAGTCCAAGACCCCGAATGACCCCGATAAACTGTAGTCTCTCTCTCCATGGGAACAGTCACTCCGTCCTGTCGGTAGTCCAACTGGGCTGTCTTAAGATCTCTGTAGTGAGAAAGCGCAGTGCCAAGTTCTCAGCAGTGAGAAGGCCAGGGTGGACCAGCAGAGGGGATAGTTTACACTGGGGTCTTACAGTCAAAGGCTGCGTTGGAACGTATCCAGCGCTACCCCCACCTCCTGAAGGAAGAGACACACACACACACACACACACACACTTTGGTTCATGCTTGTTAAAACGTACTGCACAAATACACCAGTGCGTCACAGTTAAAACAGTCCTTTTCGTCTGAGACAGTGCATGTAAACACAGACACACAAACGGCCGGCAGAAGTTCCTCAGAGGCACATTCTGAAACCCTGAACAGATTCCTTTGTGTTTTATTTACCTCTCTGTGAGGTCTGTGCTGTAATTTCTGATCTGTATACTTTACACGAAGGCTTCCTGTCAGCTATAGGGTGAATTTAGGTAATATTAATGGATGTAATCAGCTCGTCTGTAACAGATGAAGTGTCCTGAACCTTTTGCTCTCACAGCCTCACAATGAAACAGAATAGCGTTTGTTTGTGAGCCAGCACAAGTCTTGTCTTGATTTCAGTGCCGTTGTTTATTGCTATCTGTTTGCTTGATCAGAAACAAAGAAATCAATGTGATTGCACAGTTTGAAGTCTTTAGGGACTGTCGCATTTGTGCCGCAAGGGGTGACGTCCACCACATGGATATGTTTTAAAATTTACATTTTTAGATGGGGTTGTTTATCCACACACAAACAAAATTACTTACCATTTTGATTAAAAAAAAAAAAAAAATTTGTATATATATATATAACATTTAGTAATATATAATTCTAGCAATATATTTAGGTTTGGTACAATTATTAAATGTTTGTTTAAAAAAAAGTCTTATGCTGCATTTATATTTGAAAATACAGTAGAACAGTAATATTGTGAATTGTTTTAATATTTCAAAATGTATTTTTTATTAAAAATATATACAATATATATATATTAGAAGAATTTTATCTAATTAATTAATATTCGATAACATAATGTGTCGATTAATTAATCTAATTAATCGCAAATTAAATTTGGCTGTGAAATTACCCACAAAAGATAATTTAAAGCCATTATTGTGTTAAATGAGAAAGAATAGTAGACATTACAAATAGTAGCTTTTGAAAGAAATATTTTATTTGATTCAACATCAAATTTATTACGAAAACGTTTAGGCTACAACGGCCTAAAATAAACACTGGAACATAAAAGATGATAATATGAGAAACCAGTTACCAACCATCTTCAAAATACCTTCTTTTATGTTGTGCAAAAGAAAGTCATACAGGTTTGAAACGACATGAGGTAATTGATGACAAAATAAAAAATTTTGGGTGAACGATCCCATTAATGTTTGTTTGGTTGTTAGGTTCAAACTTTTTATTGTAAAACAGTCACTATTACAGAACAGATGGTTACATATTGTTATCCTTTTTTCTTACAAAAATGAACAGAAAAATAAAATAGAAACAAAAATAATAATGTTCAGATAAATGTACATACAAACAAACATCTGAATATACAAATACTATCACTCAACCACAGTCATATATCCAGAAATACATTGTCATTAATGAAACTGAATATGTACAATTAAAAAAGATCAAATAAAATAAATAAATAAAATAAACATAGTAAAAAAGAACACCTAGTTAGAACACCTAACATTTTCCAATTTAACAAAAAACATGGAATCCACAAGCCATTGAGATGTAGTTGAAGGCTCAGCTCACCTAACCACCATTCTTCTTCAATACTTTCTCTCAACTCACACTCCCTTTTTTAATTTTAGGAAGTGAATAATCATCTAAGCTTAAAATGCAGCCATAGATTTTTGAAATTTGTGACTTGTGTTGAGGATTAATTTGCAGTAACTCTTCCCATACCTGTACATGGGGCAGAGATGGGTAACCAGGAAATAATGTAGCAGAGCAATGTCTAGCCTGCAAAAATTGAAAGAAATTAGATTCTGACAACCCCATTTCAGAGAAAAGCTGTACATAACTACGAAAGGTGCCATCTCTATACAGGTGTTGAAAATTTCTTGGACCTTTTGCACGGCATTGCTAAAAAATAAGATCAGTAAGAGACAAGGGAAACATATGATTCTCCAGTAACGGCATTAATGTTGAAGCAGAAGTCAATTTAAAGTGTTGTCTGAATTGACACCAGATCCAAAGCTGTAGCTACAACTACTGGACTATGCATTAGGGAAGAAGGGGAGGCATTGAAAGATAGAGGATAAGTAAGCAAAGCCAACAGAGAAGTTGATGTACACGAGTTGGCCTCCAATCTGCACCGAGGTGCAGTGGACGAACTATACCAAAATGTTAACTTATGAATATTCACTGACCAGTAGTAAAACATAAAATTGGGTAAAGAAAGCCCACCACTCAGTTGACATCTATGAAGCAATGATTTTCGAATTCTGGGAGCTTTACTACCCCACAAAAGTGAGTAATAATCTGATCGAGAGATTTGAAAAAAATGCTTAGGTAAATACAATGGAACACACTGAAAAACAAAAAGAAACTTCGGCAAAACATTCATTTTCACTACATTAATACGACCAATCAATGAAAAGGGTAAACTGCTCCATCTCTGAAAATCAGACTTATATTGCTCCAACAAAGGAAGAAAATTAGCAGCTAGAAGAGAGGGAAAAGATCTAGTAATATTGGTGCCAAGATATCTGAATCCTGATATACTTAGTTTAACTGGAACATCTGATTGCATCAGACCATTTAAAAAAAAAAAAATTATGAAATGATACTCTAAATAAGAATATAAAACTGCCAGCAGGTGGCGCTAAATGTGTTTTTGAGTCATTCATTCATTTGATTTGTTCAAATGGCTTATTCATTCAGGAATGAAGTAAACGGCTCATTTTATGAATAGGCTATTGAATCATTGGTTCACACGATTCGTTCAAAACGCAGATTCATTCAGAAACAAATCACCGCTGTGTTGCTCGGTGACGCACAACAATTCTGCTATGGCTTTAAAGGTAATATTTTCTCTGCGAAATTGAGCAAAAACAGACAATATTGTGTTTAAAATATAACACGATATTAACTTCTTTATTTATTGAACTGTTGCATAAAATCGCATTTCCACTCGTGGTATTCAGACATAAAGTGTGATATTGTTCTTGCTGCTCTTGTGATATCGCTTATCATGAGATATAAATATAAGACAAAAACTCTATACAGGGACATTTTTTCCCCAGTATCTTGAATTTTAGGGCATAACTGCATTTATGGAGTTGTTACCCTGCATCATATTAGTCAACAGTCAACTGTATGAAATGTAAGATGACGAAAAGGTCTGGGGGCAGGGCCAGTGCGTTAACTGCATTAAAATATTATTTTTTCAGAACTAATTAATGCGATGTGTATATGTATAATTGAATATATTATTTAATCACTTTCTCTTTCGCTTATTTAATTCCTAAGAATGTAAATGTCTTCTATTGTTGTTCTTGTGTCTGAGGTGTTGATTGCAGCAGAAACAGACTGCAGATATGCCGTCCATGAGTCATAGCCATGTCTCGCATTCAAAAAAAATAAATGCAACGGCCAGCATGTAATGCTGTAATTGCAGCTCTGCCTTTTGAGTACTTATAATTACCTTTATTCTGACTCATGTTACATGCCTCTTACTGCATACATAGAATGTAGCTCCCGATGCCATGGCTACTTGACTGTTTGTCCAGAGTTTTTACATGGCTGACCTCTAATCCACCCTGAGGATACCAAACGCTGTGGTTTTCCAAGGCTATCAGCCTACATAACTGGAAAGCCAGAGCCCACACATGCATCTTGTTCGCTCTATCTGTCCATTCATATATTCTTCAGTGGAAATACATTGTTGCCTGTTACAAAAGCCAAAGGTTGCAGTCACAGTTAACTCTTTGTCTGTGTCTGCAGCCGGAGGATATCGGACAGTCTCCAGTGGCCCCCACATCAGATGGGGACAAAGTGGATTTGGAGGCATTCAGCGAGTTTACCAAGATCATCACCCCAGCCATCACACGTGTTGTTGACTTTGCCAAAAAACTGCCCATGTTTTCGGAGGTAAGTGTGCTATTTTTGTTTATTTTACACCCTGTGTTTACACCCAGGTGTTTGTGTTCTGTAGTGATTAGATTGTCAAATTAAGCCTTGTAATTATAGTACATTAGTGTCCATTGGCCTAATTAGCAGAAAATATGCTGCGGTTCTTTTTGTGTTATTTTTAATAGTTGCCAAATTATTCAGCTAACACATATTTCAGGAATATGTCAGTGTGGGTGGGTTTGTATGTATGTGCTATCTATCATGCTAGGATGAATTGTACAGTTGTGGCTTTGGTGAATGTGTGTGTGATATTGCCACATTACATCAGTCACAGCTATAGTGGCATTCTCTCCATATTCAGCATTCACCAACTCTCCTTTAAACGCAAGTGTGAACATTCTTGCATAGCAGACTACACAGCACCCTTATGGCAACAAATTTATTATTGTCTACACCATAAATTCACCCTGCCATCCACACGCATCCACAACCTCTCTGTCTCTCTAAGTTGAGCGTTATGCCTCCTGTATCGTCCTATACATCAGTGTAAATATTACTTCACTCTGCTGCCATTTTACCTACATTTTTTTTTTCTCTCTTCAGTTCCTTTCAGTGCTTGGGTCATTATTCTTTGCCAATATATAATTAAGACTGTCAAAGTTATCACATTAATGCATGCATTTAAGTAAATTTGTAAGACACTGTAATTTAAAAAAGAAAATGCATTTATTTCATTTGACTTTATACTTTAGTATACATTATACTTCGTTCTGTGCTGTGTTAATATTAAAGATTGGTCAGAAATGAAAAAACTTTGAAAGATTATACACACAACAGACCTTATTAAAACAGTCCTTATAATGTTATTATTTAAATATTTTAATATATATTTATATAATTTAAAATATATTTCATTATTTTCATTTAATTTGAAGCTTAATAATTGTGACATAGCACCCACTATTAAAATACACCGTAATTTGTTGTTGTCATATTATGTAATTATTTTTTATAATTTACTATTCATTTAATTATTTTATTTTGAGTGTCAATGCTGAAATCCATACTGGCAATATATTTTGGGTTTTTTTCATCATAACAAAAAAATCTGAATTCATTCAAACTGAAAAAAAATTTTAATCGTGTAATATTTGAAACAATTTACAACCATATTAATAATATTTGAAATGTGTTCAAGGAGTGTTTTTCAAGAACTCAGGATGATGCCGCAGCAGATTTTATGCCAGTAGGTGAAATAAACATCGTGTGATTTCTAATTTCTGTAGCTGCCTTGTGAGGATCAGATCATCTTGCTGAAGGGCTGCTGTATGGAGATTATGTCCCTACGTGCTGCAGTTCGGTATGACCCGGAAAGCGAGACCTTGACCCTGAATGGAGAGATGGCTGTCAAACGAGAGCAGCTAAAGAACGGAGGGCTGGGCGTTGTGTCTGATGCCATCTTTGACTTAGGCAAGAGTCTGGCACAGTTCAACCTGGATGACACAGAGGTGGCCCTACTGCAGGCCGTACTGCTTATGAGCTCAGGTGAGAGAGGACTCATTACATTATAATCAATGTGAATATAACATGTCATGTATAGTCATGTATTTAACTGTGTGTGATGAGCTGCCATTAAGAGAAAACATAAGATGATCTTGTGTTGACGTGATGAACTGAGACCTCTTTGTGTTACTATTATGCTGTCATGAGGAGATTTAGACTGGGGTCAAAAATTAATAAGCAGTAGTGGCTTAAATTATATGTATTGTTTATGAAACCTATATAAGAGTATGCAAAGACAGATGGGCCAGATACTCTGCAGAGTCTCTCGGCTTCATTATCACTGATAAAAAAATCTCTATTCTGGCATTGAAACCCCAAGACTTCGAGACTGATTTCTCACAAGAAGCGGCAGAAGCCACCACACTAACTTGAAATCGAATGTATATGTAGGCAGCAACTCCGTTAATAATAACTACATGACAAAAACAGCATTCCTCAGATGAAGCGTGCAAGAGAATCCAATGAACCCCAATAGAGCAAGAGCTGGATTCTGGAAATTTACATTTACACATTTAGCAGAAGCTTTTATCCAAAGCGACTTACAAGAGGGGAACAAAAGCAAGTAGTTGAGGATCAGAGCAAGAGAAAAATCACCTGATGAGCTACATAAAAATGTCAAAACAGGCCACAGGAACCATTTAGAGTGTAAAACTGGTATATATATATTAAAAAAAATCTTATTCTCCATAGAGATTTTTTTATAAAGATTATATATATTTCATAAATGAAAATAGTTTCAGACATATATATATATATGTCAGGAACTATTTGCATTGATGAAATAAGCAAAAACAGTCAATTTTGACAATAGTGTCTAAAATGTACGTCTCTTACTATTAGCCTAAACATTAAACACCTATTTTTAAATGTATTCTTTTTTTAATTGTTGCATTAATTCTGTAAAATAGTGATGAGGAGTACAAGAAAGCTCAAGTCTGCGCAAGTGGATGCAAATGGTGCTTCAAAACTGCACTATCCAACCTAAAACCATACAGATGTAAAACTCTTTTTGCTGATTTTCTGATACTTTTTGCTACAAATCACAGTTTATAATGTTGTGATTCATCTCAGACCTGGTTGATTTGGTTCTTGACTTTTTTCAAACACTGTAGCAAATGTGGAAATACTTCACATCTGGTGTGTTCATTTGATGCCCAGGATTGCTGATTTTTAAGGCAGCATAGTAGGTTTTAGAACATTGCGTTTGATAAATATTATAGTTGTTGTGAGGTATTTCACCTTCGTTCTGTGTAAAACCTAATTAGATGGTTTTTGAAATAATGTATTTTGCTGCAATCCTGTAATAGTCACATAATAATTATTGTCCTTGCATCTTCTCTGGTTCGTCTTTTCAGATCGAACAGGCTTGACATGTGTGGAGAAGATTGAGAAGTGCCAGGAGATGTACCTTCTAGCCTTCGAACACTACATCAACTATCGCAAGCACAACATTCCTCATTTCTGGCCCAAGCTGCTGATGAAGGTGACAGACCTGCGCATGATCGGAGCCTGCCACGCCAGCCGCTTCCTGCACATGAAGGTGGAATGCCCCACTGAACTCTTCCCCCCACTTTTCCTGGAGGTCTTCGAGGATCAGGACGTGTGACGTCCCAGCGAGCCGCGGCAGGAGAATCAACAACATTTTGTAACCCGTTTTCCTCTACCCGTCTCACCCCCCCTCCACGCACCAAACTCACCAGCAGCAGCTGCATTGGCAGGGGTCATCTTCAGAAAGGCTTTCATATGGGGGGGTTTGAGTCGACAACAATTTTTTTTTTTTTTTTTTTTTTTTTTTTTTTTTTTTTTTTTTTTTTTTTTCACAGAAAACTCAGACCTCCCTCATCTACTAAATTCCCCACATGTGGCCCTTCTGTCTCGGCATGATGTCTTATACTGGTTTACCAACACCTTAGACACAGAATATACAGCTACATACACACACACACACACACACACACACTCCTGTAAGTGTGCTTACAGATGCATGACTCATGCGACTCAAATCCTCCGATGAGCTTGTATGCATTTGTACACGTACAGACTGCACTACTGTCCCACCACCACTGGAGGTGCCCTCTGCTAAGACTGGATGGCAGCTGGCATATAGATTCCTCCGCCAGGTCGTGAAGTGGTCAGTTCATTTCGTTGATTGAAATCTCAGCGTACTCGTGAGATTGACTGTCGGTATCTCAAGCTCCGCGCTAACATGGATCTTCTTTAACAGACCACATGATTCTCTTCGATATTGAGCCTGTGTGTGGAGCGGGAGGAATTTTTTTGAACCAAATCAGGTGCTATATTTAAATAAAGCTACTCAAAATGATTTGGGACTTTTCGAGAATATATCTCCCTCCCTACTCAGTAGGACACGGACCGTTGAAAGCTCTCGGTCGCCATTTTAGTGCTCATTCAGGGGTGCCACTCTGCGACTTTGTGTGCGGTTCATTCTTGCCATTGTCTGGGCTTATTTGTGGACTCATTGAGCCCCTCTTTGTGCCAGGAAAGTCACGCAGAGAGATGGAAATCCAGGCGCCCCTACACCTCCAATCCGCACTGATTTGTGTGTTTTACGGGTGTCGGGAGGGAGCCAGTATTACCGTACTCCCAGACCCATCACACACACACACAAACGTACTAAAACAAACACCTCAAAACTCAAATGCCTCATTTTTACTGTATGCACTGCTGTGCTGTAGTTCTGGACTCCCATGCAGGGCTTTGAGAGTTCAGTCCAGCCCATCTGTGTTCCGCTCAGATGCTACTGTTGCCCGGTCTGTGCGAACACACACGCACACTCCTGACGGGCCATGGCGGACTGGCTGTTGCTGATGTTTTTTCTTTGTTGATTTTGTTTTACCTCAAATGTGGGCACACCTCCGGCTGGCTGTGGCTCCTAGACTGCCTCTGTGCTGACAGGTTCTACCTCACCTCTGGACACAGGGCAGCTACCCTCAGCCACACACACACAAATTTACACACACTTGTATTCTCACACACTAACAGCCAGGATAGAAAAACTCGCAAACACAGTTTCTTCTCAGTTACGTTGAAATACCACTGTAGACAGGAGGGCCTGCCATTCCTCATCGTAGCCTGTCAGATTTCTCTGAGGTCTCTTCACTCTGGGCTGAGAGAAAAAACTATTCTGGATGGGCTTTTTTTGTTTGTTTGTTTCTTTTCGTGTGGGACCAAGTGTCACTTCGATTTCCGTCAAAACGGAAGCTAGTTTTTAGCAGACGGCAAACTAAACCATACATCCCGCTGACTTCAGATGAAGGACCTGAGGTGGCCAGGCCTGAACCGAATGGGTCTATAGCTGTTTCCTTTTTTCAATACCAAGCAGTAATTTGCAAAGTGGAGCTAGGAGTTGGCTGGTTTCTTCATGGTGGGACAGGGGATGTGGGGAAGCTAGCAGTTGAATGATAGCACTTAGTTTTGAAAGAACCAAAAAATCGGAAACGATTCAACCCCTGGCACCTTTTAAGGAGTTTTTGCACTAAGGCATGATGGGTCCCACCCTCCAGCTCCTCCAGCTCAGTCGCATGTTTTCCAAGGACATGACCCCAACCTCTCTGTCAAACAGAGGCCACACCTTCATGTGCTCCTGAGCACACCCTCAGAGTCAGTATTATGTCAAGCAACGTCCTCAACAAATGACGAAACACTCATTCACGAATAGACCTCTGTGTCCCCGCCCCCTCGAAGCCAGAAGTGGCTTGAGTCAAACACCCAACTGAAACGGGCCTTTCCTTTGTGAGACAAAGGAGCAGCCAAGCCATGCAAAGAATGGCAGCACCGTATGAATGTGAACGAGGAGCAGCAGAATGAAAGAGCCAGGATGAGGAGTTGCTCTATAATGAGGTTGTGAAGGAAGAACGAGGGGAACTGTGAGCATTCCGTAAAAACCCTGCATGGAGTTCCATCTTGGAATAGGAGTGACCCAGCAGTGGACACCAATTGGCTGATCGAGTGAACGCAAGTGTTTCGATGCTGCTTTACCTTTTAATTTTATTTGAGAGAGATAGAATAAGAAAAAAAAGAAATGATAAAAGAATTACAAACCCAGAAAACAAATTAAAAAAATGACTCCAGAACAAAGAGTTCAAATCTCGGAGCTTGAGCTGTTCGTTTCTTTCTCTTTGTTTTGAACTGAAATGTGTGTGTTCGTTTTCAATGCTTAACTGCTCTATGTAAGAGAGAAAAACAACAGCCGTAGTCACTTTTTGACCATGCGTGCAGTGTAAACTAGAGAAAATTACTCCTCTTTTTCACCTCACTATAGTTTGTAATGATAAGTCGACTGCTCTGTTTGTTTGTGTATCTGTCCTTCGTCTTTTTATCAAGAGGAATTTACAACAAGAAACAGGAATATTTTCTTTTTTATATTTTGTTTTCTTTTTTTATGAAAGAAGACTTAGAAAATAAAAACCATGAGAAATAATGCAACAGAAACTGAAAAAAAAACTGAAACACAATCTACTCATACCTCACACAACACAAAGCTTAAATGAACTTGGGAGGAGTGCTTATCTGCGTGGCACTTGTGTCAAAATGCGTCCGGTGCATGTGTTGAACTGTACGATGGGGTGTATGTGCGCATGAGCGTTCATGTGATCGCGGAAGCACATGCCTCCTCCTTCGGCCTCGAGAGCCCATCTGTTTTAGATTTGCACCAGTTGCATGCATTAGCCTCCGTTTGCAAACGGTGTCACCAGCGCTGATGCGACGGCCCGTGATGGGAGCGGACGAGATGTGGTGTGGCTGGAAGGCTGGAAAGGGAGTCGTGTGCATCCGTGACAGCAGAGTGCGCTTCGTGGTATTGAATGTAGCTGACAGGACTGGGCTGGAACCAAGCCCGGGAACTAGAACCTCACTTCAGGTCACCAGCAAGAGTGGACAGTGCTGTCAAAATGATGTTACACAAACAGCTTACTAAACGTATATTGCCCGCCTTCAAGGTGCAATACTTGTGTTTTGTTTTGTTTTTCCTCTTTGTACTTTTTCAAGTTTTTTGGCCATAACCAAGGATGTAAATACAAAACGAAAAGATATTGAAAGATTAAATCACTATGTGTTAACCATATGCAACCGTCACATACTGGATGTCGAGGCCAGAACACAGCCGGCTGATCCCGCCATTTTTGTAAAGTAAATCTGCTTACGTAGCTCTGTAAATGCTTTACACATCTGTACGTGTGCTTTTGTGCACTCGCAAACGTGCATGTTCAATACAAATATGAAGAAGAAGTGCCCCATGAAATTAACAATCCAACCCTGTGCCTCCGCAACCCTCTGCCCCACTCTCAAACCGCTCTTTCCGACAGGGTAGCTAGACGTACATTTGTTCGCTAGGTCAGATTGCTGGTAGAGATGTACAGTAGGTGGGTAATGTCTGGTACCCAGAAGCACTTAGCTGGCCTCGCTACTGCCAATCAGTTTCCTCAGAGGAGAACAGTAGATACTGGTTTTGTTTCGCTTTGGTGGTGGTGGAGTTTTGTTTCTCGCCCCTTTTTACCAAATTTTGTGTTATCTTTTTTTTTTCTTTAGAGAACGACAAGAAACGCCCAGAAGCAAGAATGTCTATGCAATGCTAAACCCTCTGATAGCATGATGACTGTGTTAATGATCCCTGATTAGCAGACATGCCTCCCAGAGTCCCACCCACCGCAACTGCATGAGCCTCAGTCAGTTTGTCTGTTCATCAGTAAGTGTAAAAGTCAAGGGAAGGATAGCCCTAACTGCTGCCTGAGACCTGCTTTGTCAAACCTTACGAACATTTGAGGGCACTAGTTCAACTTTCCACTCATCTCCGATGATGTCATCCGCTGTCGAGGGACTGCATTTGTGTTTCTATGTATGTGTTTGCGTCGAATGCTCTCATGGTTCGGTGGATTGGTACTACCTGTTAGAAACAAAACGCCATTTCATACGTTCGGAATGAAAATTAGTTTTGTAGAAACAGCAAAATATCATTCATATTCTTTTGTCAACCAAAAAAATGTTTTTTAGTTGAAATTCTTTCCCCTCTCAGCTGTGATACTGAATCTCAGACCAAACTCAAGTCAGTTTTAAAGCTGAAGTGTGTCATTTGTTTTTCTTAATATGCAAAATCAACTACTTTATATGTTAAAGTACTTAATTACTACACAGAGATTACTGTAAGTAAGCCATTTCTAGGCTGATTTCACCAAAAAGTGTAAACACACCGTCTCTGAGGCACTATCAGAACATTTCACCGGCCTGGCAACAGCTCAACCAATAGTGTGAGTTTGAGGCGGGGCTATCAGTTTTATCTAGCCAATAGCAGAAGAGGGGGGTTGTTTTGGAAACCTCCAGTTCCATTTAAAGACACTAGTGGCACAGAAATCGCACACTTCGGCTTTAACACGAATGAAATCAACAAGTATGCTATTTTTGAACATTTGAGTTTGATTGGCCGCCCTCACCACTGTGATGTCACAAAGCCCTCATTTTCTCTGTTTCCTTTGAATGTGAGTATCTTCATTTGATAAGACTGTGTTTGTGAATATGAACAAGTGCTCATGTGTAAAATGCACCCAGCCATGAGAGTGTGAGCAGAGAGCGGGGATGATGTCCATACCACAGCTGTTTTAAATGAGACTGGAAAGGAAAGCTATTGAAGGATTCTCTCAGGTATCAACAAAATAAAAAAAGACAAAAAAAGAGGAAATATAACAAACCTTTTTTTAAATAAATATTGAAAAATTCCAGCCATGCCTTCTTGTTAGCTCATCATTCTTTGCTCTCTGAGTTAAAAATGTGCTTTC